TCGTTATGTTAAAATAAGCTTTAATATCTTACTCCAAAGTGATTTTTTCCAATTATTTGATGCCGTGGCTCTTGATCTTTATGTACTATCTAAAATTAAGAATTTAACGAAAAATATATAATTTTCTGCTTACCGATCTTTCCATTTCTACAACTTCTTTCGTGGTGACTGTTTAAGTGCTGATGCATCGTTGTGGTCGAAGAATGGAACTTTATGCTCCTTCCGCACAGTTTACAGGTCACAGTTTGTCCGTTATTTTGTTTTTCGAAGTATCGCTACGCTTTTGATTGATTTTGTGACGAATTCATCTGCAATAAGCAAGAATGTCATAAATGAAACAGAAAAAAAAACAAAACACCCAAAAAAACAAGGAAAATACGGTTTTTCAGTAGAAAATTCGATGAAAAATGCCTGTTTTTCATGAAAAATACCCCGGCCACAGGCAGTTTCTAGGTCACCGGCCGTGTAGTCTTCTCGGACAATAAAGACGACAAAAGTCGATTTTTTCGTCGATTTTTCGTCGATTCTTGTCGATTTTGAGTCGATTCAAAATCGACAAAAATCGACTTTTGTCGATTTTCGCTTTCATCGACTTTTGAAAAGTCGATTTTCTGTCGACTTTTTGAATGTCGATTTTTGATCGAGTCGACGAAATCGACACCGATTTTAACGATTTTCGTCGATTTTTGTCGATTGTCAACAATCGACACAGCACACTATCCACCAGTCTCCCCATCAGAGTACAATGGTAGGCCTGTTCCAGGTCATGTTTTGGATGTCGTCAACAAAAAAGCCACTCTCCGCCCAGTCACTCATAATTCTTAAATCTGCACTTTCTCAATTCCTAATTATTTTCATTTTTCTTGTTTTTCTGCCCCATTAAGCTATGAAATATTCAGAAAAATCAATTAATTTTGACAACTTGAGTTTGGAATTTTCCTCTAGTACGTTCCACAACCTTCTTTCAGAATTCTATTCTCTCAATTTCAATCTTCTCAAAAGCAAAGTGTTAATTTTTTCGGGACTACTTAGTGATAGTGTTCACTACGTTTCTATCGCCGCCTGGTTAGCTCAGTCGGTAGAGCACCAGACTCTTAATCTGGTTGTCGCTGGTTCGAGCCCCGCATTGGGCTTATATTTTTGCAGATTTTTTTGCATTTTTTATTAACACAATCCGAAGCAAAAAGTGTTTTCTACTGAAATAAACCTCGGTCCGGCATCTTTGGGTTATCTTATAGGATCTCTTCGGGGATCATCCATTGTTACTAACTTGACCGTTGAATTTTTCAGTTTCAATTAAAGCCAAACATTTTTGAAATTGGTTAAATTTTGTGAACGAAGTTATAGATAATATGTAGTGCATAACTTCAAAAATGTTATCATTGTGCAAAAACAACGGTCAAGTTGGTACCAATGGGAAATTCCCCGAAGGGAAATACGAAATAATCATGATAACCCACTGACGCCGGACCGACAGTGAAATAAACTACTGGAGTTGTTTATATACCGGTCGCTCTGTGAGCGGCCGACATTTCCCTTCTTATCGCGAATTGTGTAAATGTTGCGAAATACAGAGGAATTTTTTCGCGCGTTTGAAATATGAATTATTCAGGCTTTTTTTTGGGAAAATATGAAGAAATTTATCAAGCTTATGTTAATTTTATTCTAGATCCACACTCTCGAATCATTTGTCGAGGAGGTTGTTGCGGTGAAGCTAGAAGAATTATCTGATGTCCTGCAGAACAATCATATAGAAGCAGAGTTTTGACGTCGCCTGTGCAGAAAGTAGAAGAGTAGGTTAATTCAATAATCTGGTTCATAAAGTTAAAAATTGGTTCATTTTCAATGCAAAAACAACGGTCAAGGTGGTGTCGATGGGAAATTTCCCCGGAGGGAAAGAATCACGATAACCCACTGACGCCGGACCGACAGTGAACTGAACTACTGGAGTTGTTTATATACCGGTCGCTCTGTGAGCGGCCGACATTTCCCTTCTTATCGCGAATTGTGTAAATGTTGCGAAATAGCGACACAACGTTTTCCACGAATTTTTCTTTGCGCAATTCATGAAAAAATTACCAGAGAAAATTTTTAAAATGTTCCGGATCGAGACGTTCAAAATATATTCCATCTATTTCGTTCAAAATCGGAGGTCAAGTGTATGTCAATGGGAGGGGAGCGAAATCGGTATTCCACTGACTCCGGACCTCGATCGAATGAAGTGAAACGAGTGGCCTGACTTTTTTCTCAAAAAGTCCTGAAATCTTCTGATTTTCGTTCAAATTTTGAAAACTGAGTAATCAACAAAATGGGTTTATTCGACAGTGTTCAGTTCACATTCATTTCAATTTTTAGAGCGGTACCAAGAAGCATGAAGCGGGAAATTCGGCGCAATGGGAGTCAGGGAAAAATTATTTCCAGGAAAAAAAAGCAAAAAAGCGATATTTTGTATAACTTTATGCCAGCGCATGAATTGAAACCGCTCCTAGTGATTCTTCATTCCTTGCTTTTGAGAAACAATTTTTGGAATTCCCCACCAACGTCTGAAAACGTATAATAAGCTAAATAATAAATTATTTCACTTACCTCTATCCGCATCTAGTCTAAATTCCATTTTTCTACCCTTGCCAAAGGGGACGACTGGATGTGGACTGTTAAATGCCATCAAATAGCTATTCTCTGGCATTGGCTCCCCACCAGAAGGCGTGATGGGCTCACGGATGCGATAGCTAAGTCTACCATATCCATCTACACTTCCGTAGGCACAAAAACCAGCATGTTCGAAGCAGGAAAAAAGTCTATAGTCGTATTTGTCGCTTTCTATAGTGCTCTTGATGCTTATGACTCCGTACGTGAACATTTGCCGTACATAAATTTTGGATTCCCCAGACTTCCACTGCAATTCTTATATATATATGAAAAAAAAATATACTGAAACTCACGGCGAAAATCACATCGCAGTTCAGCAAGCAGTTTTCCGGGTAGACGTAGCAGGTCGATTGTGAATGACAGATTTTCTGAAAAAATAAAAATGTATTTATATCTGAAGAACATGAATGATACGCGTGCTAGTTCTATTCCAGTTCAAAATATTTAGAATTGCTCTTCTGTTTCCTGGTATTACATTTAGAAATTTAAATTTTGGCCAAATTGAAACACTACCACTTGGCTTTAAAAAATTCTTTAATATTACCACCAATTCCAGAATTAAATGATGTGTTTCAAACTCACCGAAGAATTATAGATGGGATCAACTCTTGGAGGTGAAGGTGTGGTTGGGATTGGGGTGGTTAACATCTCCGATTGTTCTTCGTGTAGTTCTTCCTGTTCTTTTTGTTCCTTCTCTTTTTCGAGGATCGAAACTTGTGCTGGTTCGAGGTGCTCTGAAATAGAAAATTAGCGTTTGGAATAACATACAAATATATATTAGATGATACCTGGAGATGTTGTGCTCAAAAGAGCATTGGAATCTGATTCAGCTATTTCCAATTCTACTCCCATGGTTCCATTCGAAGTCTCTTGAGGACGGTCAGGCAAAGACGAAGTTTCGATGTTGGCAGACGTGGGGCTTGGGATTGATTGATGCGTAGCATGCAAATCCAATTCCGAATGCTCTTCCTGAACCGTGTTCTCCTTCTCGAGGATTGACGGTTTCTCGTCGGAAGGAGATGGGCTTGAGCTGGATGGGATTGTTTGGTCCGTATTTGAGGATGAGAATAATCCGACGAACCATTTGCGCATGTGCCGCAAGTCTGAGAAATAGTTTTCGTAGATTGGGAGCGGTGCAATTAACGAGTGCAGACCATTCTGCAGCGAAAACAAGAGCAGAAGTGTACAAAGACGCATATTGTCTGCAAAAAAAACCAATTTTTGAATCTGAGATCATCTAAAAGTCTAGAGAAAACGAAGTTAAAAATATAGTGCTTCCAGTTTTATCACTGAAAAGATAGAATGACGAAACTTGTTGTGTGCTCCTCCCATTTCCTATTTTCTTTTGTGAGCTAGTTTTCCATTGGCTCCACCTCTAGAAGTCATTCATCAATCTAGAACAAAAAACATGTAGCGTGTGAAGGACACATTCATATTAATGCCTTCTCGGAACGTCTAATTGCGCATTGTTGCATGCATTGTGCCAATTGATTGACATATCTCAGGACAGATACTTTTTGTTCGAGACGAAATTATCTTTTGTGGATGCCAAGAACTACGGATGAATTTGGAAACACACGCAATATCGCATGCATGGAGACGAAAAAATTGCTGACATATCGAAGGACAGATCCTTTTGTTATTTTTTGTTTGGAACGAAGCATCCTTCCTGAACAACAAGAACTACGGATGCATCTTGAAACGTAAAATCTCGCATGCGTTGGGACCATTTGTAAAAATGCCTGACATGTCTATGTACAGATATTTTTTGTTCGAAACGAAATTGTCTTTCGTGGATACCAAGAACTTTGGATGAATTTTGAAACACACGCAATATCGCATGCATTTGGACATTACATAAAATTAGCTGACATGCACGAAATTATCTTCCCTCAATACGAAACAATTCGGATGCATCTTGACACAAGAAAAAGACACTGCAAAGATTACCTGAAAACTTGCGAATAATGTTTTCAAGGCGAAATATTTTGCTCTTGTTCAGCTGGAAGAAAAGAGCTGACGCTTGAGCATGATTGCTAAATGCTCATCATTAGCTATTAGGGTGTTCAGTAAATAATGTCGTTTTTTGGTACCACTATTCAAACAAATATAATTTCATCGAAACTTATGTTCATCGAACAAACTATGTACCATTCGAATCAGTAGATTTTTGCCTACAATATGCTATTTCGAAAATCACATGATGATAGAAACTAAAAGGCCAGGAAGTGACGAAACCTTGGAAAGCCTGTTTTACATAGCCGTCTTTAATGAACTGGTTTTCTCTGGTGAGGTTATCAAGATGTTTGAAAATGCGGTGATCAATTGAGGAGATATCAGAGAGTATGGTGGATGACCAATAATTTTGTAACCAAACGTATTCAGTTTTCGAGCCGTCATGATTGCAACATGTGAAATGGGGTTGTCGTCGGGTAGGAGTATGCCTTTTTTTTGACTGGTGATCTCAATTTGGATAACAAATGTTTTCTATTTTTTGACAATTGAGAACAGAAATGTTTTTTTTAATCTTTTCAGGACGTTATAATGAATAAAACCGAGAGCCCGCCATCATGAAGTCACCATAACCCCGTTTTAGTGAATTTCTGGCTTTATGAGATGTTGTACCTTCTGGCTTTCGACCACATACGGCGCTGATTGCATTCTGTTGTAGTATAGCAACCTCTCTTTTATCATACGTCACAATTCGATTCGAAAAACTACCATTTTTCTGTCGTATGAGATGATCTCGCAAACTAGAGTACCGTTGCAATTTCTGGCAATTGTTCAGTTCATGAAAAACTCATTTATCTAGTTTTTTTGTATTCTTAATTTTTTATATATATCTCGACATTGTTCCTATACTGACTCCAAGCGCTGCCGAAAGTTCCCGGGCAGTCGATCTCTGGTCCTCTTGCACCATACTTCATAATTCCTTCCAAGATCCTTTTTTTCTTCGAAAGGTGTATCTCCACATGTGAATTTTGTGAACCATCGTTGTACTGTTTTTTTTGTTAGTACTCCTTTCGGATAAAACACGGTTAATATTTTCAGTTGTCTCGGTTGAATTTCTGCAGAGCACGGGTTCGTATTAAAAAGCAGCCAAAAATCAGGGGGTACGACGAATTCGAACGTTTTCAAAATCGAACAGACCTAAAATCGAACAGATTCAATTCAGAACAGTCCTTTTTTTTGCACACGTACCAGAACAGAACGCGGACAGAATCGAACAGTTACAAGTTCGAACTGGTAAGGGGTCGAACTGTCCCAAATTGGAACGCTGTTTTGTGTGTGCTTTCATGCGCGCTCTGTTGCAGGAATCAGTTTGATTTTAGGTCTGTTCGAATTTGAAAACGTTCGAATTCGTCGTACCCCCAAAAATCACTTATTTTCCATTATTTCTCCTCGAAGAACCGAGAACATTATGACACATTATGACACATTATGAACATTATGACAAAATTGACATCCATATATATATAGCTAGCCCAATAGCACAACTCTGTAATTACTCAATGATGTCAGGAAAAACCCCGAAAAAATGGAACGAGGCGATTGTTATTCCTATAAAAAAAGTAGAAACTCCTTCTAGCCCAAGCCAATTCAGGCCTATTATTCTCACTTCCGTTATTTGTAGAGTTTACGAAAGGTGTATCCTGAAAAGAATCAATGACCATCTAGCAAATATTCAATTTTGGAGTGACAGCCAACACGGCTTTCGAGTAGGTAGATAAACAACTTCCTGTCTGTTAGAATCTTTAAATGAATGGACTTCTAGTCTTGAAAGAGGGGATCAGGTAGACATAATTTATTTTGATTTCAGTAAGGCTTTTGATAAGGTTCCTCATAATTTATTACTTGAAAAGCTGGCCTCTATAGGATTAAATTCATATCTTATAGAATGGATAAATTCATATCTTAGTAACAGAACATTCAGGGTAAAAATCAATAAGTATATTTCCTCGCCTAAGCAAGTAGTATGCGGAGTTCCTCAAGGTGGGGTGTTGTCACCAGTCTTGTTTTGTGTCTATGTTAATAGCCTGAGCGCAGAAATTTAACCGCCAGTGCAAGTAAAACAGTTTGCTGACGACCTAAAAATATACTGCCCAATTAAAAAAGGAGACATGGGAGGATCTCTGCAAGAATCAATCAATAAAATCTATGAGTGGTCAATGAATGCTAAACTAGAATTAAATCTATCAAAGACCTGCTGCATCAGTCTTGGTAAAAACCCAAAATATGTAAATTATTTCCTTGATAATGACAAAATTAAACGGGAAACTACAGTTAGGGATTTAGGATTTATGACCACTGAGAAATTAGATTTCTCTAACCATTGGCAGAAAGCTATCAATAGGGCAAAATATGCTAGTTACTCTATTTTTATAACTTACCATAGTAAGAACGTTAGATTAATGTCATTACTATATCAGACTTTTGTGCGACCGTATTTGGAATATGGAACGGTGTTAGCCACCCTTTCTAAAAAACTGCTCATTGACAATATAGAGAATTTGCAAAGCTCCTTCACTAGAAAATTGATGAATAGAATAGTGGGTAGAAACTTAAGGAGAATTGATAAGGATTAAAAAACATCTCAAGACAGATTGACCGAATTCAGCCTAGAATCACTACAATCTAGACGGGAAAATCTTGATCTGAAATTTTTCAACAAACTCATTCTAGAAAAAATTAATATAAATCATTTATCATATTTCAAAATTAGATCGACAAAAACGCGCAGCCGCCACACCTACCAAAAAACTCCAAAGTCTAAACTTTGGAAAACTCAAAAGTCTAAACTTAAACAAAACTTTTTCACACATAGGGTTCTTAGTAAAATGAGGAGCTCTACAAAACGGATCTAAAATCCTGCTGCTGTCAGATGTTCGGAAAAAGATTTGTTATTATCCACTATTATTCATGTCTGGGTTAAGAAATATCAATTTTATGTCACCATGTCCCTTTTTGTCTATTTATTCTCTTTTTCATTCTTTTTTCTTTTTATTCTTCCACGTATTTTTTACGTAATAAATACGATACAATACAATACAATACATGTTAGGTAAGAATTTTTGACGACTTGATCAGGTGTGTGAGAAGTAAAAAAGATTTGATGTTAGAACGAGCCATCGCAGAGAAAATTACGCACGAAAAAAAAGACATTATTTACTGAACACCCTAATAAAAAAATCATCTCTTGCCAGAAGCATAACGATCGCAAAGAGGTAAAACGGTCACTAAAAGCATAACAATCGTTAAGAACTCATGGATCGCTAAAAGCTCAAATACATGAAAAATTCCACTATTGCTGAAAGTTTGAGCATGATCGCTAACAACACCACAGGTGCAAGAAGACTCATAAATTGATGGTAAAAAACCAATGAAACCAAAAGATCAGCGATCGCTAAAAACATGACTATAGCTAAAACTATAGCGACTGCCCAAACTTATAATTTGTTGGAAAGTCAACAATCTCTAAAAAATCAGCAATCGCTAAACTTCCAATAAATTGAAAGATCAACGGTGAAAGATCAGCCCAGCGATCGCCGAAAACTCTCCCACCAAACCTTAAACAATATAAAGACCAATTATAGCTAGAAGCTCTGTTATCAGTAAAAGCTCTTTAATCACTGCATACTTTATTTTTAGATTTATTGTATACCAGAAAAAACACAAAAAAAATGAACCAAAGAAATTTAAAATAGGACATGAATAATCGACAAAAATTGAAAACAAAGAGTTTTATCGAAAAAAAAGAAAGTGAACATGAACTCAAGAATAAGAGAACATCCAGTTTGTATCTTTGTCACATCAATAAAAACGGCTAGATCTCTTTCTCCGGTTCCGACTGACACGAGAAAATAGTTTGTGGTATCCTCGCGTTTCTGGAATAGATAAAACCTCGAAAAAACGCATAAAGCTTTCTTAAAATTTGTAAACTAATCAATTTTCAAAATTATTAGAAATTTGGTTAATTACACAAACAATCCATTAATGTCGAATATAACTAAATTCAACATAAATCTTAGTACCAATAAAAATCTTACTTCACGCTCTCCCACAAAATATTTCCGAACTGCAAATTAAATTTTGATCTACAGGAAAAAAAATTGGCGCGATCACAATTACAGGCCTGAAGCCATATTTTCAGGATTTTCTATCTGATTTTGGGGAGATTTTAGACAATTCAAATGATTCTTAAAAATTAATTAGTGGCTATTGAATCCTGTATGATCTTTTTCTTGACGAAAATATTTCAAAATGGCCAATTTTCCAGATTTTCTACAGTAAAAAATGTCTCCTCTTTCAGTTTTCGACATTTCTAGAAGTTACATATATAGCTCCAAAGAACCGCAATAATTTATTCTTTATTTTGTATGAATGAATTTTTGATTCGTCTGTCAGAACTTTTTTTATAATCAAAAAACTCAGCAAAAATGCGATTTCGTGAAATTTAGTGTGGTTTTTTGATTATAAAAAAAGTTCTGTCAGACGAATCA